CAGCCGGGACACAGGAGCTCTGCAACCTCCCCCACCCCACAACTCGCCTGATCCATCCCTTGCATTTGTTTGTTCCTGATCTGTGGCCTTTAAAATAAACCAATACATGTGGCTTCCTGAATTCTGAGTCATTCTAGGCACTACTGAACCTGAGAAGAGCGTCCAGAGAACCCCAAACTTGCAATAGGTCAGGCAGGAGTGCAAGCTGGAAGACCACTTGTAGCTGGCATACGAAGTGGGGGCAGCCTTTATGGCACCAAGCCCTCAGCCTATGGAGCTGTGCTAACTTTGGGAATTGGTGTCAGAACTGGACTGAGGAAGTGCTCACTTTCGAATACTCCCTATTTGTGCAGAGTAGCTGCCCATCATGTCTGTGTTCCTCCCTCCCCCTTTCCCCACATTCAAATAAATTGTTTTCCTTTATTTAAAAAAAAAAAAGAAGAACTGGATGGAACTGCTGGACAGCCCTGCAAAACTAGTGTGGAAAAACAGCACAGATTTGGTGTTGGAGAAAAACACTGAGTTGGAAGTTATGTACTTGGAATAGAAGTTGTAATTAATATAGATGGCTAAGGGCCAGGGATATAGCTCAGGGGCATAAGTGCCTGCCTGGCAAATACAAGGTCCTGAGTTCAATTTCTGGTACAAAAAATAATAATAATAATACAGATGGCTGAGATTAATAAAAAAGAATGGTAGCAGAGAAATACAAGTATGTATACAAAGTAATGGACACTTCTATCAAGACAGTGATGTTAGTGTTAAATAAAAATATCTGTTTATGCCAGAACATGAAAATTCACTATTCCTGCAAAAAAATGTGTTAAAACAGAGCTCACCAATTAAAAAAATGTATAACCCAAAAAAAAGAAAAAAGTATAACCCCTTTTACTTCCAGATGTAGCTTCCTCTCTGTGACTGCAGCCAACCAGAACTAAAGAAGCCACGGCACTGCCTGCGCTCTTGCTGGGCAGCCTCCACAGGCAACTTTCTGATACAACTTCCCAGGATCAGACTAGTCTTACACAACACAGACTCCCACACCATGAAATTCGTAACTCCACACTCACAAGCAGGAGGACAAAAAAGAAGTTAACCTTTCCCAAATGAACTCTGTACAGGTATAACGCTTCTTAAACACGCAGTGGCTCCCCAGATGGGGATGGTTACCCTGGAGGCCACACTGCCGTGCTACTCGAACCCCCGTGGTGGGGGCTCACTAGCATGACTTCCAACAGGAGGGCCTCCACTCGTGTCTGTTCTGGAACTGTGATCACTGAGCCACAGCCTTCAGCCTCAGCATCTGCATCCTTCCAACACTTACTCTACGGCCTCTGGTATAAGCTGAAGAATGAACAGGAAAAACCTCAGGGGCTCAGAGGAATTCCCATCCTTTAGGGAAAGGACTCACGAAGGAGGGCAGAAGTTCCAGTAGAAGCTAACACCACTTCTTCAAGCTGATCCCAGAGCACACTAACAGAAGCAGGGTACGGTTTCCAAAAAGCTCTCAAGATCCAAAACAGTAACGATTACTGAAGACAATAAACTTACAAGGGAGGTCTACTGGTGGTTGTTTGGGAACATCGTTGGTTTCTTGGTTTGTTTGGTTTTTTTTGAGACATGGTCTAGCTTTGTGGTTCAGGCCAGGCACCATACCCAGCTCATCGTTTGTTTTCAATGTTCTATTTTCTAGTGAGTCCATGAAGTGATGTTAGTGTTAAGCAGAAATATCTGTTTATGCCAAAACATGAAAATTCACTATTCCTGCAAAAAAATGTGTTAAAACTAACAGAGCTCATTTCCTTTTCTTTTTGGCCTCTCTCAATGCCGTACACCGGGGCTATGTAACTGAAATGACACTCTGAAAGGAAGCATCAGCAATGTGACCTGTCCCATGTCACAAAGGCAAATTCCAGGTCTCACCCCAAACCTCCTGTACAAATCTCTGAGAGAAGCCAGTCACTATGGTGATCAAGCCTTCCATGGGATCTTGATGTGCCCTGATGTTTGAAGCCCCTTGGGACTCAGGATTTAATTCTTGGAGCTCCCCATGCTAGGATACTGGCCACTTTTACTCACATTCACTTCCCCTCCAGGGTAGTAGCTTTTAAATTTCAATGTGCAATATCACCAGGAATGTGCACCCCTGCATTAGCACCTACCTCTCCCAGGATGCAAGTACAGTGCAAGTGGGCACTCTCAGGAACACACATGGCTCTGGTCTGGCCCAAGCTCCTCCCTGCCCCACCTCTGCTCCATGCATCCTCCACTGCAGGCCTGGTACCCACCTCATCCCAACACCTCACACCTCACACTGTCCTTCAAGGCCAGGTCCATGCTCACCTCCTGAAGACGACACAAACCCCAGAACGCACACTGCTCCCCTAGAACTCCTCCAACCTGTTACGTGTAATGTCACAAGGGTTCCGCTATCCTGTTACACACTCATATACGGAATGTTTATTTTTACCATAATAATCGTGAGGTTTTTAGGTCATATTTAATTTTTTTCACAACATTGAAAGAAAAACTGTAAAATTAGCGGGAAAATTGTCAATCAGAACAAGATATGAGGTCATTAATGTTCCCAAAATATCCAAAATTTGCTCTGTGCTTTTAAAGCTGAAACACATAATTGAGTATTGACTACACCTACACACACACAAACACACAACCAATCACCACAATTAAATACAATATGAAGTTAGGAAAATAGTGAAAGTAAGTCATAGAACTGTAAGAAAGGCAATCATATTGTCAATTTGCAGACTAACAGAGCAACAAAATTTTTTCAACAGGCCTGGTTTCACTATAGCTCTACCCCTTGTTATTTGAGCAAATTTAATGACAGAGTCCACAGTCCATGGTATTAGAAGAAATAATGACAAAGTATTTTCAAGAAAAGATAAATCAGACAGCGAAGTGTTTACTAATATTTGTATTATCTACATAGACTGAAAAGATTTACTATAAATGAAATAGTTCATGATACTTAAATTGCTCATAAAAGACCAACTTCAGACAATAATGAGAAATAAGTTCAGTACATCTCAGTTACTTCCTAACTGCCTGATCCCTCCATGCCTCGCATACCACTGGAGATGAAACTCAAGGTCCAATGCCACCAGGCAAGCAGTCTACCAATAAGCGCTACCTTCAGCTTTCTTTTAAGACCTATTCTTTCCTGTATTTCTCCTCAGAAGCATAAATACCAACAATTCAGAATAAGATGTTAATACAAAACATTAATTTGAAAAAGTAAAAGACAGGGCCAGGCATGGTGGTACACACCTATAAACCCAGCACTCTCTGAGGAGGCTAAGGAGGGAGAACCGAAAGTTACAGCATACCCCGCACAACTTACCAAGACCCTGTCTCAAAGTGACTGTGAATTTAGAAAGGTCTAGGAAGGGGCTGGGGCTGAGCTAAATAGCTCAGCGGCAAACAGCCTGCCTGGCAAGCACAAAGTCGTGAGTTCGACTGCCGGAACTGGAAGAAAAACAAAAGAACAAAAAAACAGACAAAAAAATGGTCTAGGAAGCCAGCCAAGGTGGCACACGCCTATAATCCTAGTACTCAGGAGGCTGCGGCAGGAGGATCACTGTGAGTGTAAAGCCAGCCTGAACTAGAGAGTGAGACTCTGTCTCAAAAACAAACAAAAAATTATCAATAGTAGAGAAAAAGCGTACCAGCGGTTGCCTCTGGACAGCAGGTCTAGCAAAGGACTAGGAAGAGGCTGAGGGACTTTTTGGGCAAGAGTAGTGCTGATAAAGGTTTAAGTTACAAAGGTTACCTTTGTCAAAACTTACAGAATATTAACTAAAATATATGCATTCTGTTTGAGCATGTGGTGGCACACATCTACAGACCCAGCTACTCAGGAGGAAGAGTAGGATTCTTGAGCCTAGAAGGCCTTGTCTCCCAAAAACAGCATATACATATACATATATGTGTATATTTGTGTATATACAGATATATGTGCACATTTCATTATGCATAAATTTTGTGTGGAAGACAGAAAAACTAACATCAAACTCAAATTAACAATATGCATGAACTGTCTAAGGAAGCCAGGTGAAACACCTCAATGGGTGAGCGCAGAAAGCTGTCCAACCTTCTACATATACTGGTGGCAGGACCTAAGGAAGAATGTGCCAACACTCACTCCAAGTATCTTTCATCACCCTGTGTGTATGTGGACACTTTCACATGAACATCAAAACGAACAGCTAACTTTGTTAAATGTTAAAACTGAAAAGATATACTAATGCTTTTAGCCATGTAGTTTCAAGGGGACACTACTCCAATTCATTCCACAAAGAAAAAAAAAGACTTTTTAGCAGCTTTATCCATCTTAATAACTTTCAAGCACTGGGACCAACAAACTTAGCAGTGAGTGTCAACTGAGGGTTTCAAATTCAACAAGCTTGGAATGAGCACAGTCATCTGTTTCATTCGACATTTTCAATGGTGAATTTGATCTGCAGCCCAAGTCAAGAACAACTGAATGATATAGTGTGTTGCTGAGACTTCATAAGAGGCCCGGACAGGACTGTTCATTGATATTTCCTTGCAAGCCAAAGGCTTCCAAAGTCTTTTATGCACTCTCAAGTGAGAGTTGTAGAGGAACTTTCAAGAAAAATTTCCACTAAATCTTACAATAATCGATATTTATAGCTAGTCAAGGTAAGATCTATTTTAAAACCTAAACAAGGAAATATTAACAACTTCCTATAGGCTGCAAAGTAAATACCAGAAGAGACCAACAGAAGTGCAGGGACGGAGTTCTGCAAAGATGCCCTCAGTTCACATAAACAATGAAATTCAGGCAGCCTGAAACATTAACTAGGATTTTACACAACAATCACCAAAGTAAAAAGACTTCAAAAAAGTTATGTATAGTCAAATGCTCCTTCTCCTACAGCAGATTACACAACTTTTTAAAAATGCAATTACTAGTGATCTTTTAAAAACAGGAAACACTAGTTAAAGGTGCTTACCTTTTCTAGGAGGAAATTCTCCATTCTGGCTTAATTCTGACCCAGTATATATAATTTCTCCATCTTTTACCATTTCGTTCCACAGACCACAGAGCCCATCTCTCGTGAATGCAAGCTGGCAATAATAAACAAGACAAATTTACAAAGTGCTCACATTTATATGGCAATTCTTAAAAAAAGATATGGGGGGAGTCCTCATCTACTCATTTTATTCACTTATTCAGCAATAAATCAATGATTTAAAATTTAACAATTTATTCAAAAATAAATATTGAAAATCATTCAATAAATATGAGGTAGAGAATAGTGTATTTGTTATACTATACTATTTTTTGTGTAAGAGATTAGAAAAAAGAGACACACATGCACAAGCTCTGAAAACATAAACTAAAAATGGGTAACAATAACTACCTATGGGGGGACATGGAGGGGACAGAGGAAGGCAGTAGGAAACCAATGAAAGCAGCACTGTTGAGTGTATCTTAGATAGCTTTACTTTTTTTTGAAACAGGGCCTCACTATGTAGTTAGGCTGGCCTTGAACTCACGAGGCTGGCCTCAAATTACCATCAATCCTCCTGCCTCAGCCTCCCCAGTGCTAGGATTACAGGACTGCACTTATTTACTTCTAAAACATGTTTCCATCTTCAAATATTAAAGTTACTTCACAAAAAAAAGCAAAGCCTAAAACAGCAACAAGCAAATTAAGCAATAGTGGAATATATTCTAAAGGAAAAAATACTAAACTTTCTTCATTGGTTTATTACACTAATAATGATGTTATAATTTTAAATATATCTCATGAATGTTCTATGGTAAAGTACCATTAACATAAAATACATGTATGTTAACTCTAAATGCTACAAGAAGCTAAGCTTTCAAGCGTAGAAGAGATAAAAACCAAAGAGATTTTTTAAAAACAATTTAGACTGGAAATCCTATGAACTTTACTTTTTAATACATTTGCTTGTTCTGTCTTTGTAAAGGATGTACAATCAACTGCACTCTAGCAGCAAGGAGTATACTCAGCACCTAGATACTGGTCTCTAAGCACCATTTCCAAATGAAACAAACCAGGGCTCCCGCGGGAAAAAGGGCTGATTCAAAACCCAGAGCAGACAAGCTGAGCCTAGAATATCTTGTTTTCTTTATTTAAAAAAAAATGGCTAATGGGACTCTTGACCAAACTTATGTCCTAATTTTGTATCAGTGCATGTTTGCAGCACATGATTACGTCCCTCATGGGGAGTTGGTGCACGAATACATAACACATTTAATTCTTTTATGTCCCCTTCTCCACCTTTGCCCTTCCCTCTCCCTCCATCTCATGGTCCCCTTCCCTTCTGCACATCCTGGTCAAATTTACAACAGTTCTGAGCACCAAAATCTGTAACAAATGTGATGGACAAAAGTAAGTTATACTGCATGAGTTCATGACAAAGAAAAAGCAAAACAGCCCTGGCCTGTTAGCACGTGTGAGTGAAGAAAGGCCTCTCAGAGCTAGCGATCAGTGGAGCAGGAAAAGGGAGTGTTAGAGTACCCAGAGGAGCCGGGAGTGGTGGCACACACCTGTAACCCCAGCACTGGGAAGGCTGAGGCAGGAGGAGGACCACAAGTTCAAGGCCAGCCTGGGCTACACAGTAGGTTCAAGGCCAGCCTAGACTACATAGTGAGATCCTGTCTCAACAACAACAACAACAAAAAAAAAAAGAGAAGGGATCCATTCTGAAAACTCCAGGAGCAAGCGAAGCCATCTTCTGTAACACAAAATCTCAAGTGAAAAAAGACACATCTGTTTACTCATCCAGTGGAAAGCTAGGGCCTTTTCTTAGGGTACAAGCCTGCTAGCTCCTTCCCCATCATCACTCTGGCAGCACAATGTGGTGAAGCAACCACTATCCCATCTTTAAAAGGGCACAAGCAATGAGCGCAATCATGATGTATTGCAAACATGTACTAACAAAAAAATTTTTAAGGGCCGGGCATGAAGCTCAGTGGCACAAGCCCCTGCCCAACAAGCGCCTGCCCGGCAAGCACAACGTCCTGAGTTCGATTCCCGATACCAAAAAAAAAGAAAAAAGTTTTTAATATTTTTAATGAAGCAAGAATTGAAGGGCATTTCATGCCCAATCTCAGTTCCAGACATCTTCTAATGTAAGCTCATTCTCTAACCCTAATCTGTACAAGTAAATCTCCGGGATTTCTTTTCTTTTTTGAGGTGACCCTATGTTGCTCAGGCTGGCCTCAAACTCTCGATCTGCCTTCCTCAGCCTTGCCAATAGCCAGGATTAAAGAGCCAATGGGCCTGGCTGTGCAAGTAAACCTTTAGCAGCCACTTTTGTTCAGTTATTTATGGCGGACAGAACAGTAAAAGGCTAGAAGGGTGCCCAGCAGTCTAGCCCTCTGGGATACACACACCCATCCAGAGTAACTCCCCCGCCCCAAGTGTGGAAGGGACCTGTAAACAGAATGAACTGTCATACCCACGACCACACGTTGCTGGACCTACGACAAGGCAAAAGGACTGCACAAAGATAATTACGGTTCTGAGTCAGGTGCTTCTCATTAATCAAAAGGAAGATTATCGTGGGGCCAGAAAAAAGCAAGTGGCTAGGATGCTGGTGGAGGCAGCAGCCTGTAAGAGCACAGGACTTCAGACCTCCAACCACAAAGAACCCAACTAGCCGGGCGTGGTGGCGCACGCCTATAATCCTAAAACTCAAGGAGGTTGAGGCAGAAGGATCATTGTGAGTTCGAGGCCATCTTGGGCTACAAAGTGAGTTCAAGACCAGCCTGAACTGCACAGTGAGACCCTGTCTCAAAAAGACCAAAAAAAACAAAAAAGCAGAGCTAAAAAAAAGAACCCAACTCTGCCAGCAAGGATCCTGAGCCCCAGGTGAGGACACCAACTACCACAGCCGGCTGAGCTAAGCCATGGCCAGACTCCTGGCCATGGAAACTATTAAAAGTATGTTTGCTGTTTCAAGCTGCTAGGTTTAAGATTAGTAACTTGTTATGCAGCAGTACAAAACCAGTTCTCAGCCAACTCAGTTTCCACAAAGCAACAGCTTTCTCTGAGCACTTTTTTTTTTTTTTCCCCCTCTTAGCACTCTTATTCTACCTGTTCACATTGCTAACAAGAAAGCTTGAAACCAAAACATATGACTCTCGGTAAAAGTACCAACTGGTTAGAGAGGTAAAAAGTGAGACTTTTTCCTAAAAAAGTGAACTGTAGTCACTGAGGCCCTGAAGTTTGAAGGAATGGAGTGGGAACAGTCCAGGCAAGAGCAAAGAGAGGCCACTGGCAGGTGGTGATGCACGCTTATAATCCCAGCACTCAGGGGGCTGAGACAGGATTGCTGCAAGTTCAAAGCCAACCTGGGTCACATAATGAGTTCAAGACCAGCCTAAACTAGAGAGAGAGAGAGACCCTGTCTCAAAAAAAAAGAAAGAAGCAAGAGAGAGCGAGAAAGAGAGTGAGAGAGCAAGGAAGGAAGGAGGGAGGGAGGGAAGAAGGGAAGAAGGAAGGAAGGAAGGAAGGAAGGAAGGAAGGAAGGAAGGAAGGAAGGAAAAGCTACCAGTAGGGTTCAGTCCACTCTCCACTAAATTGTCAAGAACAGTAGAGGCACACAGTGGCCTGGCCTCATCATGCCGTGCTCCAGGAATTACATGCTACCTTCAGAACTCAAGAGAATCCATGATATATGCCTTCAAGTGCAAGACTGATTATCACGCACAGGTACAACTTCCCTATGATGAATGTGATCATTATGTAGACCTAAAATGTACCCATAAATTAAAAATAAAAAAGCAGTCTGGCCCACCCAGAAACAGCAAATATCCATCCAGATCTCAGCAGAACACTCAGGGCCACTGACTGAAATCTGGGAGTCATGACAAATGGGTTGCAGATGACGGTCTGGAGGAGACGCCAACACCCCTGGAGGCTGGGGGAGCACAATCCTCCGCCCCCACTGCACTCTGCGCCTGCCTCGCACTGACTGGTCTCCACACATCAGTGTTCTGGAAGGTGGTCTAGGTAGAGAAACACTGGGACTCAGAAGAGCTACTAATTCAAAAAAGAGAGACTGAAAGGCAAAAATGAAACATTTAAAGTCTTCTAAAGACTAAGTCAAGGAGGAACCCCAGTTCGTAAAGAAACAAGAACGATTACTACAGTCCATTCTTTTATCACCCGGGTTGTGCAGGGAGGGAAGAGGAAAGGGAAAAGCTGTATGGGCTACAAGGAATCCTTTTTTGGAAAGCAGAGACTGGATATCTGCAGGTACATACACTACTGAGACGTCCTAGGAACTAATGACCCAAAGACGGAAATGAGGTGTGAACTCAAGAGAACAACTCAACTACACAGTCAGGCCTCACACTGAGCTTATGGTAGAGAAGAGTACTGCATTAGTAGTGAGAATAAATTAGCCCAAGAGTAAAGGCTGTGTGAATGAGCCCTAATAAACCTTAAGATCAAGCCTTTTTTTTTTGGTGAATCAAACTCAGGCCCTTGCACTTGCCAAGCAGGTGCTGTGCCACTGAGCTATATCCTCAGCCCAAGATCAGTCTTTGAAAAGATCAAACTAATTCCAAGTAGTTTACATGCATACCAGAACAAAGCTAATGCTTTAAAAACAACCAAACACAAGCATGGGGTTAAAGCACAGTGACAGAGCTTGCCTAGCATGCAAGAGGCCCTGGGTTCAATCTCCAGCACCATAATAACAATAAAAATAATAAATCCAGCGTAAGATAACATAATATTATAATTTCCATCACTTGACCAAATATTAACACACACACAAACATGTCCCATGGACAGAGATATTGATTAATAGAAATTATAGAATCTATCAGAAATAAATCCAGAAGTGACAGAGGTGATAGAATTTGCACATAACATTAAAATCCCTATTAATATAATTTCTATGCTCACAGAGAAGAAACATGAATCTACCAAGCAGTAAAATAGGATATAACAAGGCCCCAAGTGAGCCTGAAAAAATGAAAAATACTAGTGAAAACTCTAATAGATGGGATTAACAGATGAGACACTGAAGAACAGCTACGCCACAGCCTACAATGTCTAAGCACACAGCTATAGTATTAT